GATTTCTAACAGGTCTGACTCACATTCATTTTATGTATCGACGTTGCAAAAAGTAAAATGTGTCATTTATAGAATTTGTGTTTAGGCGAAGAAGTGGCCAGTTTTTTCCTGAAATCTAACTTATCGCCGACTGAATTGGCTCAGATATGGTGATTATTGTTTATTGAAGAGTGAATCTTTAACATAAATCGGTTTAATTGAATATTACATGATGACATTCAACAGGGATCTCGTAGATATTAAAAAATCCGGTAGGCTCAGTCGAGATGAATTTGCCGTGGGAATACATTTGATAACGAAAAAGTTGAAAGGAGAACCATTGCCCCCTGTTTTACCAAAAAGTCTCATTCCACCATCAATGCGCTCTTCACAAGGTATGCTTGTTAAACTCCTTGTTCAAAGAATTGTCTTATAGATTTGTTGCCGCATTCTTACATTTTAAGTTTTATAAGCATCATCTAGTAGTCCATTTACTGAAATCATGAAAAGGTCGGGAACTATCACGAAAAGTATTTCTACTCCCGTTAGATCACAAAGTGTATCTAATCAATTTAGTAGTGTATCGGACTTATTATTCGATACATCGCCATCTCCTTTCCCCCCACAATCCCAAAGTATTGTAGTTAAGATTTTAGTGCATACATCATTATTTAGTGCAATTTCTTCAAACTAATTATTTGAAATCTATGATGTTTTAGATTCAAATGATATCGACCTTCTTGGGGACACCGATATCACTACTCAAATGGCTCTCGAGGGTGGAGAGATCCGAAACCTCAAGACTCAGGCTGATAATTTTGACATTGCCACAATGGAACTTAAAAATAAGCGCACTAATGTTGATGTCAATCTAGCATCATTGGCTACACAAAAGAGCGAGATTTCAGTGCGTATTTCACAATTGCGTACTTTATACGACACGGAACTTAAAGCTTTACAAGAAGTTCAAATAAAATATCAACTCGAACATGAGAGTGTTGAACGAGCTAGGGAAGAGCTTGCGCAAGTGGAGAGATCCTTAGCATCATTACAACAAGAAAAAGAACAATTGGAAGCAAATATCCAAAAGGATCGAGAGGAAACATTGGATATAAAAAGGAGAATGAGAATTGCCGAAGAAGAGAATGTTAACATAAAAGCTGAAATAGAGAAGCTTAAAAAAGATAGTAAACAACAGAAAGGATTGCTTGCAATTAATAGAGAACAACTGGTATCTGTCGAAGGGGAGAAAGAAAAATCTTTCAAGGCCTTGCAAAGTATGGAAAATCGAGGTATTATGGGCTTAAACGATCCTTTTGGATCCGGAACATTTACACCCCCTCCCTTTGGTCAGTCCAGCAATAATCAAATAACTGGAAGCACAAATTCTCAATATGGTTTGGAGCTTGAAGATAATAATTATCAGCCAAAACCTTTCGGTCATAGTCAACATGCTTCGGTCTCTTCCCTTAGTGGAAACGGAGTGAAGAGGACCATGTCAAATGCTTCGCTTGCATCTAACTCAACGCTGGGTACGTCCAGTATAAAGTCTGCTCCTTTGAATTCCTCAAAATTGGAAGAAATTACATTTGACAAACCTAATTCCACAGCAAGTTCAAAGACCACGGAGCTCAATAATTTGTTTGGTGAAAATCTTCCCAACACCTTACAAGAAATTAATCAATCACCGGATGGTTCGGAAATTATTGCTCGAAATGTGAATCCCTTTGAAACCACATTTTCATCGCCTGTTTCAACCATTAATGAGTTAAAAATGCCTCTTCAGACCAATATTGAAAATTCTATTCAAAATAGTGCAGAAAATGAGATAGAGAAGATTAGTACCGACCCATTTTCGTCGTTTGGAAGTTCGACAAAGTCGACCTCTGGAAAAGCAGGGTTTGATTTGGCCTTTACATCGATTAGTTTACCAAACAATGATAATATTGTCACGGATTCGTTCGCCGCCACCGACTTCCCAAGTTTAGAAGAAATTGAGGCCTCAGTAGAAAGTGGGGCAAAATTAGGATTTGATAATGACTTCACTAGTACAGAAAAAAAGAACGGAGATGCTTTAAAGGAAGAAGTTACAAATGAAAAAGTAGGAGATTCAGTTACAGTGGAGGTCACGAAGAATGAACCCGAAGTGGTTACAGCGGGCGCAGTGTTAACGCAAAAAGAAAGTAATGAAGAGGAAAAGAAAAATATTATTGATGTTTTTTCAGATTTAAACGAAAAAGGCTTTTCTCCAACCCAAGATTCTGATGCATGGGTATCAATTGAGAACACTACTGATTCTAAGATCATCAAAGATGAATTTGAAGCAGCGTTTGGTGGAGATTTGAGCGAAGTTAAGGTCACTAAGACATCTCCTATAGAATTTGAAGCAGGCTTTGAGGACACCGATTTTGACGAAGATTTTAAATTTAATCCTACATTTGAAACTCCAATAATTCAAACAAAACCAATTGTACCCGATAGCTCCAATAACAATATTACATCTAGCTTTAAGAATACAAGTTCAATAGATTTAAGTAAGACATTCGGTGATTTCGATCCCTTTCCATCTTCAGTTTCGCTTTTATCAAATACAACAAAACCAGATTTGGACGCCGCTTTTGGAAGATCATCAGGGGAAGCATCAAAATC